ATATTACAGTATATAGTCAGTCCTTGGCACTACCTCATTGAATCGCTTAATAATTCTAATCGTGCAAAAAAAAATATTCGGGGGGCATGCGGGTCTGACCTACCCTTTCCTTTACTTGCTGCATGCTTGCTCCAGATCAGTTACTCATAAAGTAACAGGGATCAGCATGACAGCCAAGCACCTGGCCTTGTCAGACCTCTCATCTGTTGTATTCCTCTCAGCTCCGGTTTCCTTCAATGTGCTGACTTGTGCCCTTTAAACTATATATAAGACAAACTCATATTTCACTTATTTTTTTTATCATTGACAGGTTTCTGTGAGACTGCAGATCGGTTCCACATTCTTAACGGTAACATTTTGTGATTTCTGTATGTAGTGTATGGTGTGGAAATGACATGTTTACACCTTTAAAGGAGAACTATGGGGTTAAGGCTTTTCCCCATAGTTCTCCTTAGGGTAACGGGAGGACACAAACTAGCGTCCTCCCATCACTCTAGGCTCAGTATACCGCGAGCTGTAGCAGTCAGCGCTGGACGATCGGAGCGGAGAATCCAGCCCCTCCCCTGTCACGGTGGAGAGCCGTGACAGGATCGAGAGGTGAGCGAACGCCGGTATGTGTTCGCTCACCTCCCGATCTACTGAGTCTACTAAATTGTAATTTTTGTTAAAGGAGAACTATGGGCTTAAGTCTTTTCCCCATAGTTCTCCTTAGGGTAACGGGAGGACACAAACTGGCGTCCTCCCTTCACCCTAGGCCCGACAATTGTGCCGGGATCCGCCCAGCTGCGTGACTGACAGCTGGCTCTGTCTATCTAGAGGCAGAGCCAGCTGTACACGCCCCCTCCCCCGTCCGATCCACCAGCCAGCGCTGGCGGATCGGAGCGGGGAGGGGGGAATCCAGCCCCTCCCCTGTCACGGCAGAGAGCCGTGACAGGATCGAGAGGTGAGCGAACGCCGGTATGTGTTCGCTCACCTTACGATCTACTGAGCCGACCTGTGACAGTCTCATTGTCACAGGTCGGCTAGAACTATGAAGTGAGTGAAAAACACTCACCTCATAGTTCTCCTTTAAGCCTCCCCGCTTCTCTTCCCCCTTTGTCTGCAGGCACTGAGATTTCATAATATTGGATGGAATGTTTCAGTGCACGCTAAGCTTATGTAAAGTTGGATGTAAACAGCAAGCATAGGTTTATCAGAGTTCATATCAACAGCAGTTTTCTACAGGGGGCCCACCACTGTATATGGCAGCTGGTCTCATTTATCAAATAAAAAGAACTGAGTGTTACATATAGCAGCCTGTTTTGCCAGTGAGGTTTTTATATCATGAGATAATCATTATCTATGTATGTCCAGCTTTGAGTGTTAGTATATGGAAATTGGATTGGAGAAGTAGGGTTCAGCTCCAACAGGGTCTGCATTGGTGTCTGTCTGGCAGGGACACCTCTCCCCAACACAGCAAGGCTGGGACAGCCTGAGTTTCCATTTTCAGCCAAGCAATTTTGTCATTCACCTAACTGAGTTTGCCATATGTTTCTTTGGAGAGTCTTCTAAAGGAGAGGTAATATGGGTTTTATGTGCCCTGATCCCTTTATTGCTCTTTGTGTGCAGAAATTGTCTACTGTGGTCATAGGCATCTCCAGGAATGTAGAACTATCTCTTTTGGATGGGAAATAGATCACATATTGTACAGGAAGGGCTACCAGAATTATGCCGGAAGATCCTCATAATGTATATAAAGATGCTACCAGAATTTTGCAGGAAGACACTCATAATTTATGGAGAAATGCCCTCCCCCATATAGAAGTAGATCACCCAATACTGTGTCACTGCCTCTCACATTCTCTCTCTGGTAGATTCAGCTGGTAGAGTTGTTATATATACAGAAAACAGCAATATCTGCATTGCCCACTACTGTCTATGCATATGACATCTGTCCCTAGCAGAATACCCCCATTTATTTATTACAGGTATTTATATAGCGACTTTACATAGTTGCACATTCATGTCAGTCCCTAACCTCAAGGAGCTTACAATCTAAGGTCTCTATCTCACATGCATGTATAGAGTGCCAAGTTAGACAGGAGCCAATTAACCTACAAGCATGTCTTTGGAGTGTGGGAGGAAACCGGAGAACCCGGAGGAAACCCACACAAACTCTATGCAGATAGTGACCTGCCTGGGATTCGAACTGGGGATCCCCAGTGCTGCAAGGCAGAAGCGCTAACCACTATGCCACTGTGCTGCCCATTATCCTCTTTCCATGGTAGCCTTGAATATGATTAGTGATTTAAAAAAACATTTTTTTTTTTTTTTTTAGAAGTCCCAAGATGATGTTCGATATGGAGTTACTGGGATTATGAAGATGAAGATGTTTCCCAGGCTGGACTAGCCACACACCTTGATTCAGCCACTAATACAATCTTATCATCATGCGTGCAACATGGAAAACTATTCAAAGTGAAACTTTAAGCTAATTTTCTAGTTTTGCATAGAGTGGGGAAGGGTTAGAACCCTGTTAGGTTTTTAATTGCCATCCTTGTCTCCACTAGGGAGATTCGCACTCTTTTGTCATGGTGATCATTGTCACCAGGATAGAAAGTGATGGGAAATCCAACATTTTACAACTATCACAGTACAGGATCTA